CTTCGGGTGAGCGCTGGACAATGAGGACTAGGAGAGACCAAGGGTGGACTTGGGTCCCTTCTGCTTCCAGAAGAGTGGCTCAAAGACTGCTGCATGCAGATAGTGAGTTAGTAGCACATCTCTGCAAACAGAGGTTGTAATTCTTGTCTGTGTGGAGTCTGGAAGTATTAGCCAAAGAAAGCTAGCGATTAAACCATGTCTTTAATTAGGAAGCCCTAAGTCCTGTGTGCTGCTTGTGATCAGCAATACCACATAGGGCCTCGTCTTTAAAGTCACAACTTGGGATTGACTTGATCTGTCCGGACTTTGCAGCATAGATTCTCACTGCGTCTGCTGAGTTCTGTGTGAGTGAATTTCCTACTACTTTTCAGGGAGTTTTCTGCCTCTGCAGATGTAGATGGAGGACCTTTTTAAAGACGTCTTACAAAGTTCTTCAACATTTTTAAAGAATGTTAAGGCCTATTTCAACATACATTGCCGAATATCACAGAATGGGTTATATTCCCCACTCGACCTCGTCTAGGGAATATGCCATCATTTGGAAAGCAATAGTCCCTACGTTTGAACAGCTTAATCTTCCTGGATCTTAAGGAGCAAGTGATGGATGGAGTCAAGGTACAAAATTCATTGGCATACTCTAGAATTTAGGGGATTTATTCAGATTAACAATAGAATAAAATTAGCTTAAATTTAATCGTCCCGAATATCACTCTTAAGCAAAACAAAGTATTAAATTTTATCAAAATGCCCAGCTGAAACCAGGATATTGAATGCTCACCAGTAAGATGAAAAGACTAGACCTGTGTTTTGCAGTCAAGCATCAGTTAGAACCCTGATTCTACTACCTGAGAGCGGAAACGTTTGCAACAATTAACTCCACTTCTTTGAGCCTCGGTTTTCCTCTTTCTAAATTGGGTTCCTAATCCTCACTTTGTAGAACGGTTGGGAGGACATGAGACACCGTGTGATGAAGCACAAGTACAGAGGATGAAGTCACAGGTGTCCCAACAAAGAAGGACTATTTGAGTTTGATAGATCACATTAAAATAGCAAATCCGCCTGATCTGAC